ATCTGGAGCTCTGTGTATAGTAGGTTTAACGGATCATGTATAGCAGGTTTAACTGATCATGTATAGTAGGTTTAACGGATCATATATAGCAGGTTTAACTGATCATGTATAGTAGGTTTAATTGATCATGTATAGCAGGTTTAACAGATCATGTATAGCAGGTTCATCTGATCATGTATAGAAGGTTCAACTGATCATGTATAGCAGGTTTAACGGATCATGTATAGAAGGTTTAACGGATCATGAATAGCAGGTTCATCTGATCATGTATAGCAGGTTTAACGGATCATGTGTAGCAGGTTTAACTGATCATGTATAGCAGGTTTAACGGATCATGTATAGCAGGTTTAACTGATCATGTATAGTAGGTTTAACGGATCATGTATAGCAGGTTCAACTGACTTTGGGGCGGTCAGGTGGCCTAGTGCTTAAAGCGTTCGCTGTCACGCCGAAGACCCGGCTTCGATTCCCGACATGGGTACAATGTGTGAAGCCCATTTCTGGTGTCCCCCGCCGTGATATTGCTGGAATATTGCTAAAAGTGGCGTAAAAACCATACTCACTCACTCAACTGACTTTTGGAATAAATGACTACAATACTATCATACTACTTTTAAGTTCCTGTTTCCTGTCACCCATTGTTGTTCAGTCGGTCTTGTGTTGTTTGTGTTCTTGTTAACATCCTCAACCGTTGCTATGCATTTTTATTCCATTTTTAATCAAGGAAATGTTGGCTGGGTCAGTTTCATAGCTTTGGTTTCAGTGTTGTTCCTGTTCTATTGCTGCTCACACTCGTTCATGTCGTTTTGAAGTTACTGCCCTCAACTGTGAAGCACGATCTGGGCGTGGTGTTGTGGTCTAACTAAGCTGTGTGTTGCAATGGTGCATTTTTCCTCTCGAACAAATGACCTAACAAAATGAATAGATTAATCACTGTCCTGCTTGGTTGGGAAAAGACTGTTGATGGCTAAGTGTTCTGTATATCTTTTTCAGAATATTTTCTGATCACTTGCGCAAACGGAACCTCATTATTCATAAAATACTGAAAGAAGTCAAAGAAATTATAATCCTGTCATCCTTGCTCATCAAGTGTATTAGATCTCCAATCTTTTTAGTCCAAAACCCTCCAGGGGCGTAGCTAGGGGAAATTAAAATATAAGCAATAAACTTATTTTTTCTTAAACACCCATAACGCTTTTCCAAAACAAACACAAGCAAGTCTGTGCAACATATCCATGCCAATATTGTTGGTTGGTCATTAGCGGTACGTACGAGTCCCAGAGTTAACTCCCTTCTTTACTATCTCCTCCTCCCTCTCTCTCTCTCTCTCTCTTTGTGTCTCTCTCTCTCTCTCTCTCTCTCTCTCTCTCTCTCTCTCTCTCTCTCTCTCTCTATGAATGCCAAGATGCACTATGAAATCATTGCTAGTGACTACTACGATATTCAAATGGCTTGTAATCAATCTCATTCAAATCAGATCTGTTTCTTTTTTACGATACCTGATAGACGCTCCATGAACTTACTGGTCAATCAATTAGGGTCAAGTCTTCTCAATGCTCCGTGGACCCGTGTAGAATAGGTCTTCAGCAACCCATGCTTGCTGTAAAAGCCGACTATGCTTGTCGTAAGAGCTAGGCTACCAACGGGATCAGGTTGACTTGGTTGATGTATGTCATCGATCCCAATTGCGTGGATGGATGGATGATATGAATCACTGAATTGTCTTGTCCAGACTCAATTATTTACACAGACCGCTGTCATATAGCTTGAATATTGCTGAGTGCAGTGTTAAACAACAAACAAACAAACAAACAAATAAATGCTCAGTAATATTCACAGATATATTGTGGTATTTGTGGTACTTTAGTCCTTGTATGTTACTTTCAAAGAGGGGGTCATTGAACCCCATGTCATAGCCAGTAATTACATATTATACCAATGTTGTAGTTCCAGTGTTTATTTTGCAGAGTTGTCGTACCAGGGATTTCGCTCAGGTTCCAAACATATCATGTATATAAAGAATAACTGGAAAGCAACTTTGGATTTTTTAAAGTTCCTATTTTCTTTAATTCAGATGTCATTTAAGATTGTGTATTGACATTTATACATTCAATCATGTAAAGTTAAGTATTAAAGTGTCTGCCTCTTTCCTGGTCTGGCTATCAGTGAAATACAAGTCAGCCTTACCTAAGCCATCACATTAGTTGTAGCCTGTATGATATTGATATTTATGTGAAACCTTTTCATTCCAATTTGGGAATGTTTACTGACATTTACTGCAGACTAGGGCACTTGTTTTAGCTTATGATGGAAACTTGAGTATTGCAGATTTTGTGGGACTTTGAAGAACAATATATAACACAAAAGGTCATTTTATGTCATCCATCCATAATAATTTCTAATTTAAAAAAAAATTACAACTTGTAAATGCCATGTAGCCCACTTGTTCCCCAGTGTCTGAATCTGAAGTGGCATTATAATGGTCCAACATGCATCACCAGCAGCAAACTACAAACCATTTCAGAAATATTTGTGTGAACACGGACGTTGCTGATGCTATTGTCACCACAACTGCAGGCATGAGATTAACAGAAGCTTTAAGTCCCAAGATGAGTCAAATTAATGACAAGTGGACTACCACTTTTACCATTAGGTAGATGGCAACTCTGCAGCAGGACCAGTGGCATTTCCTTGTGGATTACCACTTTTACTATTAGGTAGAGTGCAGCTCTGTAGCAGGACCAGTGACATTTCCTTGTGGATTACCACTTTTACTATTAGGTAGATGGCAACTCTGTAGCAGGACCAGTGACATTTCCTTGTGGATTACCACTTTCACCATTAGGTAGATGGCAACTCTGTAGCAGGACCAGTGACATTTCCTTGTGGATTACCACTTTCACCATTAGGTAGATGGCAACTCTGTAGCAGGACCAGTGACATTTCCTTGTGGACTACCACTTTCACCATTAGGTAGATGGCAACTCTGTAGCAGGACCAGTGACATTTCCTTGTGGATTACCACTTTCACCATTAGGTAGATGGCAACTCTGTAGCAGGACCAGTGACATTTCCTTGTGGATTACCACTTTCTCCATTAGGTAGATGGCAACTCTGTAGCAGGACCAGTGACATTTCCTTGTGGACTACCACTTTCACCATTGGGTAGATGGCAACTCAATAGCAGATCATTATTGCAAATTAGTGAAAATAAACATGAATTTCTAACTCTCTAACTGTGTCATTTGGAAGTTAGAATAAGTCACAAGACCCTAACACATGTTAACACTTGAATATTGAATGAAGCACTGTGACAACAAGGTGGGTTGTAACACTAGACATAATCAATGTACACAGTATGTCACTGTGATGGCGGTGTACACAACAATACCTTTGTAATATTCATGAAGAGTAAGATTCTGTTTCCCACTAGACCCTGTCACAGTAAAGTAACCTTTTTGTGTCTGTAGAGCTGTAAAATAATTCACACACATGCTGACAGCCTGACCAGAGAGTCAGTAAATTTACCACAAAGCATTGAAAATGATCTATTTTTTCAGCACTTTCGAAATAATGACACCTTTTAGGCAGACTATGGCAAGGAATATTTAACCTTTAACCAGTGTGTGCCTGAAACTTTCGAGTCTTCTGTCCTGAATTTGTCCTTTCCGATCTTCCCTAGTTTTTACTCTTTACATATGGGCTGTCATAAGCCAAATGTCCTTGACAAACGTAATTTTACTAGAATCAGGCTTTGGATTTTTTGTGCTGGCTGTTTGGTATGGGGGAAATTGGTTTCGTCAAGTGCCTACTATATTCCCTGCGTCTAATCTTTGTGTGAATGTCAGTTCCGTTCAAACTTTAATCAGTAACTTCAAGTACTGAGAGTGTGTTTTGTGTGTTCATAATGGGTGTTAGGTTATTTTGAAATAGTAAACAGAGGTGAGAAGTCAAGTGATAAAAGCGGTGCTCATTGCACCAAAGGTCTGTGTTTGTTTCCCCACATGGGTACAATATCTGAAGCCAATTTATGGTGTCTCCTAGCATGGTGTTGCTGAATTATTGCTAAGAGATGCATAAATCTCATTGAAATAGTAAAAGAACAGACTAGTTAAGTAATATTTTGTTATTATGAAATCATGTTCATAAAGACTATGATTTCACTCTTTGAGGCAGTTGGGATGGAAATATTCCATCATTAGCACATTCATGATGTCCACCGAATGAATTCAGACAGGTTATGTACAAAGCTAAATATCCAACGCACATTAAACTTTAATACCAACATGTATCAATAACTTGCTATACGGATGTATCCAAATATAGCCGAGAGACTACCCCGACACAATTTGTGGAGTTTCTCACTGGCAAATACCAGGCATCTGTCCGTCTGTCGTACTCTCATTACAAGTAGGTGATGATGTGATTTCTCAAGGATGATGCATTTGAAACAAATTTGAGATTCCGTGATTGAGGCAATCAATACTGAAGCCTGAGCGAGGCTGGCACTGCCCAGATTTGTGAAGAAAAGTGTTACAATAGCTAGCTTCATTTAGTTTTATCTTCATGTGATTAAACACATCTTTAACCAACAGGAATCTTCTTTCATGATTTACTAGGGTGATTTTGCAGGACTGATTAGCTGTAAACCTTAACTCCGTGATCCACCAGTCTAAATACGGATAAAATGTAAAAGAAAAAACGGCAAGGGAGAAAGTATGGACTGGGATACAGTGGATATTGAGCAAATTGACTTCTGCTTAGTAGCAAGCTTTACTTTTCAACCCTGTCAATTTGGGGGGAGCAAGGTTGAGATTTAAGGCAAGCAATAACATTTTAGGAATGATGCATTAGCACTTAAATAGAATGACTGTTTTAGGGTTTGTGATTGATATCAATTTAATGCTAGATATTTGGTTCCGTTGATGGAGGTTGAGAATGTTTCCGCAGAATTTCACTGCCATGGATTTTTGCTTAACATTTGTCTGGTTTATTTTCAGATTCTGTTTATTGGTTGCTGCATCAGTTGATGAAGAATTTGGTGATCGCAGCATGAGGTAAGTTGGCGAAAAGTCTTTAGAGATGCTTCAAGTAATATTCTTGATTTGTGGGACCAGTTTTGAAGTTTGACGAGAATGAAGAATTTACTTTCTTGCAGATAAGAATGTGAGCTGGAGAAAATCATTAGCTACTCCCAAATAGATATCAGCGATTGGGGCCTGGTAAGATGACGTATCGGCACTTAGGCGCCAGTCGATATTTATTGACTTAATGTGTTCTTCCCACAGTGTCTAAATATTCAAACTTGTGTTCCCGTGGTGATAGTACTTGAATATTGTTAAAGTGGCGTAAAAACTCACTGACTTAATATTCAAATTAATTTGAGGTTTGGGGAGGTCAAATCCAAATAAACTGAAAAAAGAAACTTTAAGATATTTACTGGGGTTGGTGTATTTGTCATTGAAGACCATTCCGAATCTTGGAAAGGCCCATAATGTTTCTATCCAACTGTTATGTGATGAGTAAGCAAATCTGCTGATGAAGTGTTCATGATTAAATTTTATAGTCATTGGTCCCGACAAGGGGGATTTGTTGATCAAGAGCAAGCTTCATCTCATGCTGTCTAGCTTATCTGTCCTTTGAGTTGAAGGCATTCACAGGGCATGCTTGACAGAATATACTTCACATCTTACATACTTCTGACACAGAGACACTGAAAGTTGTCTTTCGATGTCTGCGTGTCTGCCTCAATGTGGAGACACTATAAGTTGTAGCAGGATCCCTCGGGGGACATGGGGTTTTGTGCGTCCCGCGTTAATTTTTTTACCACGAAAACCTAACAAGGGATGCATAAAACCCCATGTACCACGAGTGATCGTACTATGATTTTATCTTGCCGACATGTTTTAATGTGACATTGTTAAAGAATTAACACAAATTCAAAATTGATAGAAAACAGATGTTCGATTGAGCTGAGGTTAACTTGTGCTATGTCATGTGACTTCCATTGACTCGGAAAAAGCGTGTGGCTTTTTGCTTTGAAGCGGGGTGTAAGGGATTTATTCTGCTTCCGAGAAATCCACGTGCAGCCTGTATTGCTCCTGGTAGGGTATAAGAGATTTATTGCCCCGCTGAGAAATTTATCCCCTCCAAGCGGGTTACATAGTATTTTATCAAGATCATGTTGACCAATCAGATCTCGTCATTATGACATGGAGGTATGATAATGAATGTTGTCCTTCGGTGTCTGTCTGCCTCAGAATGGAGACAAGAGATGTCCTTCTATCTGTGTGTCTGTGTGTCTGCCTCAACATGTGGCAGCATATTTTGTCCTTCAGTGTGTGTCTGTGTGTCAGGTCAGACCAGAGCTCCAAGGTCTACCAACCAGTTTGTACTCATATTTAATCATCTTTATAAATTTTCTATCTTTGGAATCCAAACAAGAGTTCTTATGTATTGATTTCTGTGTGGATAAAGTTGATACTTGAGGAGAGAAGCCTTGCTACATTTTCTTTTCAATGTTTCCACGCTGGCTTCATCCTCATGTAGACATGGCTGTAACCGTGACACAGATTCAGAGATTATGATATTCTGTGATCATCTGACCTATAATGTTTTCTTGAAAACGTAAAAACTTGATCGATTATGGATTTGTTTTCTACAAGGAGGTAGAATAAGGCATGTGAAACCAAGATGTCCTAAGATTGGTGGATTGAAAGGTATTTCAATTGAAGCATCACAGACAGGGAGGGATGTGGTCTTTGGATTTAACATGTTTAAGGACAAACCTATTAACTCCTTATTTACACATTTTATGAGATAGAGAGAGAGAAAAAAAAGGAAAACAGCAGCAAGACAGGGAATAAATTGAAATCATTCTCATATGTTGAACAGTTTGTATGTATTGTGACAAAGACACTTGCATGTACGTTAATCACTTGTGCAGCTTAAGTTTTGCTGCAGTCAGTGAAATATTCCAAAAATAGGCTAATGAATATCACTTGCTTCCAATATATTCCAAAATAACCATGTGTACAAGATATGAACAAATTGGAATAAAATTAACATTTTGCATGATCTTTCGTGTTTACGACCGGTTTAAGTACACTACAGATTGCCAACCTTTGCTATGTACATGTTAACCTATCAATTCCAGTGAGTAAAACAGAAAATGACATCCAATCACTAGGTTTGCTCTTGAGGCTGAAAAAAGAAAGTGGAATATGCCCCAGGCAGTCTGGTTTCCAAGGGATACAGAACAAAATGGTGGTCTGCATGATGACAGTTTATTAAGGCTGGGACGAGTCCAGACTCACTACCCGGGTACCCACTCCCTTTAACCCGACCCTTCTCGGGTACCCACTGTAGGTCTCAAGAGATGATACAAATGGCCAAATGGGAATAGGAATAGTTTGACCGTAGCCCCAGCAAAATGTATTGAGATACTCGTAAAAAACGATCTGGTCATGCATTCACTGAAATTTTATTTCTATTCTAACATATAATGTCAGAAGTAATGGATGTATGGTCAGAAAGAAATGCGAAGTTTAGTCACTTATAGTGTAACCATAGAGTTCTTGATGATTTTTCCATTAAACAATATATCACGTGACTAACCACGAGTCCAGATTGTCCAGTGGGTATGTGGGTCCTGTTAAGGAACGACCTGACCCGAGTACCCGAGTTAAATGTCCCGGCCCTGCAGTTTATGTCCTCATTGTGATTTTTAAAATAGTTTTGACCATAAATACAGACACTAGATAAAAGAATTTACAATTGTTGTGTATCGTAAGTCGGGTAAAAACGTGGAATCACATAGTGGCCGTGTTGATGGAAGCTGACAGATGTCTAAACATGACAAGATCAACTGGCCATGCAGACAATGTACATGTGCAGCCTAGCTCAAACCCAGGAAAGTCGTCATGTTGTGGAAGTGTCACAAACATCTTCAGATTTTAAGCATTATGGAAAAAAAGTTAAGGCCTATAATTTTCTGTCTGCATGGAGTGAGGGGTGGGGATTGGCTAACTTACAGCAAAGAAAGTGTGTTGATGTCGTCCTGATCGTATGACAAATGTGGGAGGAGGAATGGATTTAGGATAAGGTCAAAATCTGAAATCATTAATTTTCCACTAGAGGTCGGTACACTACTGCCGAGAAGTTCATTCCCCTAACACGCGTTAAGAACGCGTGTAACACGCTTGTGGCACGGGTGCACAACGGGTTGCACACGGGTTGAGTACCCGTTGAACACGCGTGGGTCACTCATTGCACACGCGTCTGCCATGCGTGTAACACAGACCGGGTTTCAGTTGAATTTGACAAATATATCAAATGAATAGTGAGAAAAAACAAAACAGTGAGATGTAAATCTAATAAGCTGCCATTGACCTCTGTTCACCAGACCATAAACACAAGGTCGGTCTGTCTTAATCAGTGTTCGGTTGCTGGACTTTTATGGCATGAACCATTCCACGAAGGTCCAGTCTTGCCATTGTGGCTAGCCGACAGTAGAACAGTAGTGAATTTAGATGTGAGTTTACATTCGCGACCAACTCGTGTTATTCCGGGTCAAGCCGAATAGCGACTCGTGCCCCTCTCATGGCCATTTTTGCGACCAGTTTCTGTCTTAGCGCAAACGGGCATACCTAAACAATTGTCAACTCGTTGCCTAATGGTTCACACATATTTCCCCATATATCATATATTTCAGATGCAATTTAAAGCGCATCGTGACACACGGAAGTATACAGTATTATTGAACACATTTAACTGTGTCTTGGGTATATTTTTAGATGCAAGACATATGTAAAATCAAAAATTATTTCTGAGGGATTCTTTGACGAAGAACTTGAAATCATACGCGCATTCCGATTGGTTTGTTGTATTTTAGCACATAACATTCATCAATAGGGAGACGAGTCATCTTGCAGGTTGTGGGAAAGGGTGAGTGGTGACGAATGGCGTGTTTATTGCTAGGAGAACCCCTGAGTTGACATGATTGTCACAGGTTGGTAAATGTCCGCCATTAATGAAGTGATTGTTGATTGCGGACATACTCGTTTCAAAGGGGCACATGTTGCTGACTTTTTTTATTGTTTTTTCCCTGTGAGTACCTGGATGATAAAGCGGAAATCTAGACTAGTTCGCGACCTGTGCTGCGCCATTCGTAAGCGCATTTGTCACGTTTATTGATAGTATAAGGGCCTCAAATTGATCAACAACATTTGTGGAAATAATAAGGAAATGTGGCTATCTTTGTGGGTAGCATAGGTAATGGTGACGATCAGTCATTTGCTTGGGAAATGTGCGATTTTACACTATTTTGAAATGCAACACAAAGTAAATATTTCATTTGAGCATTGCTTATTTTATCGTGTTTATTTTTCTTTTCTCTTAAAAAAAGTCCATTGAGATAGAAAACAATGAGCAATCAATCAATGTATTATCAGTTAACCCTTTGAACAAAGTATGTTATTTGTACATCGGCACTTCACGCCATGATATGAGTGTATTCCCTTTGCTTTAGTAAAACTAGACATGTAAACACTTACTTTTGACATATCCACTGTGCAAGATAACAGTGATTAATCAATCAACGTATTTTCTGTTAATCCTTTGATGACTAGGGACGATCCGTTGATCTACAAAAAAGTAAATCAACTGATCATTCATCTCTTGCTGGGCTGCCACGGGTACATTACATAACACACTTTTCACCTCACTTCAAACCTGTATTTAGACTGAATAATTACCCCAGACACAAGAAATGCCAAATCGGAACTGTACCACTAATTATACCTGTATTAAATTCATTAACTGAGCATCAAGTGAATGATGACAAATACACAAGTGTAGAGTATACCAGAAAACGTGGATGACAACAAGGGAGTAGCAATCGTATTATCCACGCAATCCGAAATCTGAAAATGCTTTCACTGCAGGGATACTTATTTTATATTTTTATACTATAACCATAAGGGATATTTCCAAATGACGACATCTGATGAGCTTCCGCCGTTCTTTTTGTCTCTTTGTTTAGGCTGAAGAAATTAATTAACATGTGCCCTTTTGTCAAAATCTTTATAGATCATGGGTAACGGGCATGTATAAAAACAACGTTCAGGAAATGTTTTAAAAATGTTTTCTTCACATGATTTTGTATGGTTCCAGAAACTTTTCAGAAACATTTTCTGGAAACATTTGGTTATAACGTTTCAAAAATGTTTTTGTAAAAAATTCCAGAAATACTTTTGAAAATGTTTTATTCATGTAATTTTGTATGGTTCCAGAAACGTTTTAGAAACATTTTCTGTGAACATTTGATTATAACGTTTCTAAAATGTTTTTGTAAAATATTCCAGAAATGCTTTTGGAAATGTTTTATTCACGTGAATTTGTATGGTTCCGGAAAACGTTTACGGAGCGTTTTCTGTGAACATTTGGTTATAACGTTTCCAAAATGTTTCAGGCATGTGATGCAGAAAACACAATACCAATGACCATGCCATGTCTTCAACATTCAGTCAACAAAGAACTTCAAGAGTCAGTTCTGTGGAGATTTTAATATTTTTAGAAAACTTTTACACCTTTCGAAATTATTGATTGTCAGAATTTTCTTTATTTGGTTTTGCCTTGATCCACTTTTCTGAAACATAAAACAAATTCTGAATAAATCTAAAGCAGATTTTTAAAATATGTATTACCGTATTCGACCCATTAAGCGCCCCTCTCCAAATAAGCGCCCCCCACCCCCCTTCCCGGTTCCGAAAATTTATATAGTAATTATTTCGTTTTAAATGAAAATCGTCCAGGAATCGAGGTTTCCGGATATTTGAAGTCCATATTAGCGGGGCATGACTGTATTCTGTTTATTTTAGATATTTGTGACTTTGAATATTATGCGCAGAAAAAAATTACACCGTACCCCTTCAGCGAAGTCCGGCCAACGAACGGGTGATGAGAAACTTCGTCAGTATACAAATTCGAAATTTGAGATAAAAAAATCACCAGACATGTTGACTTACCGTTTAAATTGTATTTATTGTTCAGCTAGGCATCGTTTTATATCCAGGGATTAAGATTACCTTGTGTATTTTCTCGTAAACTAAGCCGGACACAGCAATCAGCTGTACACATGTTTTCTTCGAATCTACCGGTGATTCGGTCAAGACACACCCAATGATATAACTTTACAGGATTTTAAATGCAAGGATCGGCAAAAGTTGTATCTGAAACTATTTTTTTATCAGGAATAATATATTCCAATATCTTGTTAATTTAGATGCAGCTTTTACTAAACATATTTAAAATTATAATAACCCTAAGCGAAGCAGCTGATCGCTATTGCAGGGTATTATTTTTTACATGGAACCAGTCACCGTCAAGGCTCCCTTGCATGTGATCGTGTGATCGCAAGAATTACGTGTTGACATAGAATTCTCCAACAAAAACAAATATGACTTTTAACGATTCAAAGTATGGCATTAATGATATATGTATCCGTTCTCTGTCAACTTCAGTTCGTTTCAAGGCGTCAATAGTGGTAATCTGACCGTGGTTGCTGTTAATAACGGTGAGTTGTGCGATCTTCCGATCGCTTCACACACAATTTCGCTGAAATTAATTAAAACGATATTAAAAGGAATTTTGAATAAAATTAATGAAATAAGTTACAAACAAAAGTCCAGATATACAAAGAACACTTTTTATAGCCAGACAGTGTAATAACATGAATAATTTGCGAACTGCAGTATGGATTTGTTGACATGGTATTTCCGGTGTTACGTGCTCACAGTAATGTCTTTCCATGGGGGAAATAACATCAAAACTCATAATTTGTGTATAATGCACACCCCCTTCTACCCAGCTGTGTTTTTTGGAAAAAAGTGCGCACTATTCTCAAGAAAATACGGTAAGGCTTACTGATGAATTTACGCCAATTTGACCTGAATTGTCCCCAATAAGCGCCCACCCTTTCTGTCTTTTTTTAAGCGCCCTGGGCGCTTAATGGGTCGAATACGGTATTCCAACTGAAGAGACAATATTCCATTTAAGATAACATTTTATCAGTAATCTAACAATAATATATTTGTAGGTTTTTGGTGGAAACATATTTTTATAATCATTCAGAGACAGATAAATTCTTGTGGTAACTATAATAGTATTATAACATTATCATGCATCATATTGAATTCATAAAGTCGTACACCAGGAACACCCCAACCCACTTAACGGTCAGTGGCTGAGTGGAGATACAAATCCACTTCTTAGCATTCATTTAAAGCCTCAAAAGCATCAAAAGATACTTGATCTAGTAGCTCATGGTACTTAACAACAGTTTCTAGGCATGCACGTACGTTTGCATCATTCACAGGCTCTGGTGTATTTGGTGTGTACATTTCCGTGTGTATCTCCTGGAATGCTGTTGTCTCCTTTTCCCCCTGGCTGCAGCGAAAACAACATTGTTATAACTTGGACAAAATTCAATAAGCATTATATTGTTAATCCAAGATGAAATACTAGTATATTATATTGGTTCATAACAGTATTTTAATTCTGGAAACCCATTTGTACAGAAACGCTACATTCTGTGGCCAGTCTCGGTCAAACGTATTTGCAGAATTCAACATTGTTGATTTCATGGGTACATAATTAAATTTTCGTTGTGTTCATGGAAATTCCTGCATTCTGATTAGCTGAATTGGTCATGTGTTATTGCATTCATTTCCCAATGAATGTAAAAAATTAAGCCACGCCCACCGCGGCGCACTACTTTTATTACTGCGGAATGTCGGGGAATCCCAATATTACAGTCGAGGGAATTCCCTTTCTGCTCACGTGTATCGTCTTGGACAGGACATTTAGCGACTTTCATGCATATTCATTGTCCAAACTACCCTTTGAAACTGAAGGCCAAAATGAATGAAACAGCAAACGTGCAGGCTCACTCGCCTGTTTTTTCCCGCTCGCCTTGGTTCAACTTTCATGTCTTCGTGTTTCATTTCTAACTAGCATTTCTCCAACTGTGTTTTACCGTAATCAGGGAAGTAGTGTTTGAATCACGCAGTAAATGACCATGTTATATTGAAACAGCTGCCTTCTCTCGGACATATTTCTTCCGGTTTGTTACAGTCTTACTGTTGCAGTTCTTTTCGCCTCTTGCCTTAATTGACGGGTCTAATGAATATTGTTTTAATCCAACTCTCCATTGATTGGCTACTGACTGTGTAGGCGTGTCAAGTTATCTGCATAAACGATTACACGATTCACCTGATTCATGTCACGCCACTGTTTTACGTTTTACGTTGTGCTACGCGGATTCATACAGTTTACACATCAGTTTTTCGATTCATACCTCAGTGAACCGAAAAAAAATAAACAGTCAATCCTTAAATGGGTTTCGAAAACTCAAAATTTAAACTACATTGTGAAATCTGTCACATCTATCATGGATTTGATGCTATCTACAGGTTCAGCCATTTCCAATTTCCTCCACTAGTTATTGGAAACTATTTCCTTTCTCCCTTAATCCCATCTTTCATGCACGCAATATGTAAAACATACACTTAGTGTGATCTTTATATAATCCATACAATAAACTAATGTTCATTCATTAAGATATTGATGGGTTTAGGGAGCAGTCCCTTTGAATATTTATGATTTAACATAAGTTATGTACAAATTGACAGATTATGATAATATGAATATTAAAATTCATCATTACTTTTATATTAAATGATATGATATCATATCATATCTTATTACTTGCCCGTGAAGAGATCACCCGTTTAATAAACATACAGCTGTATTACACATTGTGTAATACCAAAATGTGTGCTTATGTACTCTCCGAACACGTTTCTAGAACAAATATTGAAAGCTCTCAACATCCCTTGGCTTATTCAACGACATTGCGTGTGGAGATGATAGAACACTGAGAGGAGCTTATGCACACTCGAGGGGGCACGGGTGGCCCAGTCGTCTAAGGCGCCGCGATTCGCTGTGCAGAGTTGCGTCCCTTGGGCACGCCAGAAACCTATGATTGTGGGTTCGAATCCCTGTTCGCCCAAATTATGTTTCTAGGTTTGTCAGCACCATACCCGTGCTCGTGGGTTTCACCGAAGTGATAAACGTCTGGGACCTGCATCACTTCGGGCTTTCCTCCCACATTAAGCTGACACGCCGCGATATAACTGGAATAATGTTAAAAGCGGCGTTAAACCCAACTCACTCACTCACTTATGCACACTCGATGACCACAGCAACCTTGTTGCTAGGCTGATGTCATATGACATTGTTTCGCCGAAGGATCTTGCAACAAAATTCCATAAATTACGTCATCAGGTATTGCGACGTCATTGTAAACTTTGAGCTGCATGGCCCAGTTCCACAAGGCGATCATACACTCAACAGTATAATTCTAAAAACGTTATAAATGGCAAAATACTAAATAAAATACTAAACTCGCTCCCGTGTAAAACCAATTTTATGAAACTCGTGAATAGTTGTGGTATCTGACGAGTGAAAGCAAGTCAGATACCACAACTATTCACTTGTTTCATAAAATTGGTATTACACAGGAGCTCGTTTAGTATTCTATATATATCATATCATATCATATCATATCATATCATATCATATCATATCATATCATATTGTATTATTGCTTGTACAAGAACATATTCTCCAGCAAAAGTAATTAAGCATTAAGAAACCTGACAGACACTTTTTGCGTTGAATCTGTAATCTGTAGGTTTGTTCAAAGGGACAGGACGTCGATCTTTCTGAAGCATTGTTTTCACACAACAGCCGTTAATCCCCCAGCTTACTCTGCTATACTCGCCTTATTCCGCGAGAGAAATTTCTGCTCTAGTGACCTACTGCAAGAGTAGGCTTTCTTCCCGGGAATACCCCTGCTTTCTGGCTTCAAACGACCGAGTCATTTTTTTTGTAATCTAGGTTTACATACATTTACATACATTTACACATACATTTACACATACATTTACTCACGCATACATACATAAAAACACACCCATAATTTACATACATACATCCATGTAATGGTACATACAGCCATTCATACCATGCACACATACAGCCATGTAATCACACGTACATACTTAATCAAGAGTGTCAGTCAGTATGTATCAAATCTTTATAACCGGCGAGATCACACCTGACTTGTCTCAATCACGCGTCTGAAAATAAGGGGTGAACCGTTACACAGTAATTCAGGGTAACGGGTGCTATAGAAACAAAGTACCGGCGTGCTACCTGTACACGGTACTTATATGTTACGATGATGTGTCATTCCTTAATCAGTACATCTTCCCGAGGCAAGAGAGTTAACTGACTTTAAAAGTCCAGTTTCCACCCTTGCTGAACTAGGCTGGAATTACTGGGCTTGATCGTTGCACCACCAGTGGCTTTTACCAGTTACCCTTCTAAGCCTCCCCTATGGACCAATCACATTCTACCTCTCGTATCACTTGCATTTGCTTCACACAAAATGGTGGCGCCCAGTCAGAACGATCTGATCGATAATCAAGATCTATATTGTGATAAAACGGGTCTTACATCGCGAAATGCATCAAATCACGTGAGCACCTTGATTAAAAACATGAAAAGATTTGGGAAAAATCTGCTGACAGCGAATTGGCGATGCACATGATTTGCAAATCCTGCAATCGATCGAAATCTGCACGACAGTTTACGAACCTGATTTTGATTTCGGTGTGCGATTTTGATTGGACTATGCAGAGACTCGTTAGTCCAGGCAAAACGTAACTCCATAATATCAGCCTAGTTCGGCAAGGGTGGAAACTGGAATTTTATAGGCAGTTAACTCACTTGCCTCAGGAGGATGTAATCAGTACTGAAAAGTAAACACAAGTTAACGATAATAAATACACGCAGGTCGGGTAAGTATTATTTCCTTGGTTAATTATAAGTTGACTTTCTTAAAACACTTTTTCATGATGAAAGAAATGATGGTGCAGAAAAAGACTAGCAATTAACACTATAACCGTGATCCAATCCCGTTGCTCAATACAATCCACAAAGAACAATATATAGGGCGTCTTTTACTATTTATTCCTTACTTGATATCAATAATTCATTTATGGATACCAAAGAAAGAATTTATATCACAAATTTGATTTTATTATATCATGAAATGTTTACTGACGTCGCAAATCGATTTGTAGATATCAATAACTGAATTTATTATACCAAATAATGTACTTTATCATCTAAAAAATCGAATATGGGATAGTATTTATCGCCTTCGTCTCCGTGACCTTATGCCCATTTTTTAATAGTTCGTGCAGATAACTACAGTATCGTAACATTTTCATATATAGTCATATTCTACTGACGTGAAACCCTAACATTAAGATATGCATTACCCCTGATTGTTTTTATCGGATATTTTGGTTTCTCGAACCGAGAAAACTATGTTTGTGTTATTCATTCACTTTTTATGAAGTTTTTGCACATGTTGTCCAAGAAAAGAAAAACAAAATAGTGCTTATTTATCTATCTTGTACCGAGCCATATCTGTAGCTTGTGTGTGTTTTTATGATTGTACCTTTCTTTTGAGACCTACTGTGTCTTTGTTTATCATACTAACGTTCGATGTCGGTTGCCACATCACAATATAGACAAACAGAAGGTCCATTTGCAGTTAAACTTCATGTTAAATACTCATGTAAGTATCTGATTCTTGTACACATTTCTAAATTTGGATCTGCGACTACCAATTTTCTTTATTTTTCTACTCCTCTGCTGTGGAGATGTTCACCCTCATCCTGGACCTAAATACCTTAAAGACTTAAATATTATACACCTAAATGTTCGTAGTCTCAGGGATAAATTAAATATTTTAAGTGAAGAATTGGATCATACGATGTAATATGTTTGCCTGAAACATGGTTAAGTGAAGATATTCGAAACAATGATATATAGATACCCGGTTTTCAATCCCCATTTAGAAAAGACAGAACAAAACGTGGTGGTGGGGTTGCGGCTTATGTTAAAATGAATCTGTACGCTAAAATAATCGGAAATTTAGAACTTGCCGAGCTTGAGGCGATATGGATACAGGTTAAATGTAAAACTCGAAGTTACTTATTTGGTACATTTTATCGCGCTGATAAATGTGTCCATTGTTGGAGTTTAATTGATGAGTCAATAGGCAATGCTGTTGATCTTAATATGTTTACTCTTGTTACTGGCGACTTCATTCCAGATATTCTATGCGAAACCACTAAAAAGATTGAACATTTACAAACTATGTATGGTTTAAAACAAATAATTACAGATCCTACAAAAATAACGCCTAATTCTCAAACTTTGATTGATTTAATATTCGTATCCTGTGTAAACAATGTTAGGTCTTCTGGTGTACTTATCCCATCTGTAGCAATAACTGCCCTATCTTT